TAAAGTTTGTTGGGAGCTGATTAGCAAATGGGAAAAGTTGGCTTCTAAAGAAGGGTCATGTGAATTCGATGTATGGCCTGAGCTTCAAAAATTGACTGGTGATGTGATTTCTCAAACTGCTTTTGGAAGCAACTATGAAGAAGGAAGGAGAATATCTCAACTCCAAATAGAACTAGTTGATCTTGCAATGCAAGCTGCACAGTCACCTTACATTCCAGGATTGAGGTATACATATACATGATGCCAAAATGCGAAAAATTCTATGATACTCTGATGTGTTTGATATTGGGTACTTAACTTTGGAGAGGGAGTTGTTTTAAATGTTATTGGGAATTTACAAATACGCTGGCGCCAGAGTTTTGTCGGCTCTGTTGAGTGGGCAGGTAATTTCTGCTGCCGTCCCGATGAAAGCAGGTGGCATTGGTGAACGCCTCCCCTGACACAATCTATGTCGGGTTGCACGTCGGTGTATTGTTTAAGGTTTGGCGCCGGTCCTCGGTGTCAGGGCACTGCAAGTTTGCTGTAGTTTTTTAAATTTCTATCAATTTGCCGGTTTAATAAATATTATTAATGAATTTTTATTGCTTTTCTATATATATGTAGGTTTTTACCTACTAAGAGGAATAAGAGAATGAAGGAAATCGACAATGAAGTGCGGGCTTTACTCATGGGTATCATTAAGAATAGAGAGAAAGCAATGAAAGCAAGTGAAGGTGCAACAAATAATGACTTATTAGAAATACTTATGGAATCCAATTTTAGAGAAATTAAAGAACATGGGAGCAACAAAAATGTTGGTATGACTATCCATGATGTGATTGAAGAGTGTAGGGTATTTTACTTAGCCGGACAAGAGACCACCTCAGTTTTGCTTGTTTGGACTCTGCTTTTATTAAGTAAGCATCAAGATTGGCAAGCTCGTGCAAGAGAAGAGGTTTTTCAAGTCTTTGGAGAGAACAAGCCTAATCAAGATGGGTTGAATCGCTTGAAAGTTGTAAGTGCCTTAATATATAATATCACACAAAAGGTGTCACATTATATCATACGAAATTCTCGCCATTCATTTTACATATTAATTAATACTAATTTTCAATGCAGGTCTCGATGATATTGTACGAGGTGCTCAGGTTATATCCACCATTAGTTACTCTTCCTCGAGCTGTTTACAAAGATGTCAAACTTGGAAACTTATCGTTACCGGCTGGAGTAGAGATCTTCTTGCCAGTTATCCTTCTTCACCATGATCAGGAACTTTGGGGGGATGATGCAAAGGAGTTTAAACCAGAGAGGTTTTCGGAAGGCATTTCAAAGGCGACAAAGAATCAAACTTCATTTATCCCATTCGGATGGGGTCCTAGGATATGCATTGGCCAAAATTTTGCTCTGATGGAGGCAGAAATAGCTTTGGCGATGATTATCTCCATCCTATGTTCATTCTCCCAACAAAATCCTTACTATTCATCCACAGTACGGTGCCCAGTTGATTTTGAAGAAAGTTGCGTGAAAGTTTTTAATTATTGTAAAATAAGATTGGCGTCAAAATGATAATTATCATGCTGTTGTAACTTAAATTAGTTTAAATAAATAGATGGATGATTGAGTTCGAGTTTACTTGTGGATGAAGTAATTAATTCATATAAATTTTACATATATGAATTTTCTGACACGAACAAAAACTGATTGCGTTATTATATCATGACCAGGATTCTACTTCATCTCTGAACTTACAAAAATGCTATGACTATAACATCTTTTCATAAACTTTCTCACATAATTTTGATATGATAGTTTGTGATTAGTAAATTTGTAAATTAATAAGTATGACTCATAGCAAATAGATCGGATCTATTTGCGAGCCGATTAATCGTGAACTGTCAGATTAAAATTATGAGAGAAAGTTTGTGAAAAGAGATTGTAAACGTAATATTACCGGTGAACTTAAAGCACAGTCAAAAATTAAAGTTGAGGCATATTCAAAGAGATAACTAGAATGGAGCAGTTGAACAACTATCATATTAATTATTAATTATAGGCTAGAACCTAGAAGGGAACAGTTGAACAACTATCATATTAATAATTAATTATAGGCTTATTTCAAGTTCCTCCCCTTAGGTTTCATTGTTTCATTACCACCCAAAATTTACAGAAATCATAAACCGCCCCTATGTTACCACTTTTCTCCACTATCTCCCTGGGCACCATTTTCTTAAGGAGCATTCCAACTGAAAACGTCAAAAGTCAATAATAACCCTAATTTAAAGTTGTTCTATCCCATTATTCTTTTTCAATATTCCTTATAATTCAACAAAAATAAAGAGAAAGAAATATAAAAATAGTGTGTTTATGTGAAGATCAAAAACTGACAATAATGATAAATATTTTGCAAATATGTATGTATGCATTAGCAACCTATAAAATAATTAATAGTCATATGTTTAGTGAAACTGCAATTTTGTGAATATTTATTTTTTCTAATTAATATATATTTTAGTAATTTTTTTTTTTTAAATATGTACAGCCTAGAGTAGATTGTTTGATTATTATTTAAAAAAGAAATAAGAAAACTCTTAAATGAGCATTTGATTGAATCGGGTGTATATATATAAAATAGTAATCAAAGCCCCATGTCCATCATCACCCAATGACCAAAAAAAAAAAAAAAAAAAAAAAAAATCCTAGAGATCATGATTAACTAGGGAAATAAAACAAGCAACATAGAGATCAAAATTAACTAAGAAAATCAAATAATTCATCATAGTCAAGCGGATCCAAAAATTTTTTTAGGATGGGTCAAAAAAAAACTAATTATATATTAATATTTTTGTTAGGATAGGCAAAAATTAAAAATTATTATTAATATTTTAAAAAAAAAAAATTGAGGTGGCCCACCCAAAAGTGGGCTGGATCGCCTCTGACCACAGTTGCAATTTTCCTCTGCCGCTAACCACTAGATAACTCGACCACCGCTTTCTCAATTTGAAACCAGGAAGTGGAGTTTCGGTTCCAACCATTCAAATCATTGAAAAAAATAACTTAAAGAAATAATGCACTTGACAGAGTTTGTAGAGATAAAAATTCGAAGACGAAATTTTTTTTTCATTTAAGACGTACTGCAGAGGTAGAGAATAAATAAGAGGTGATTGAGAAGGGAAAATGAGGGAATAAAAAAAAAAAAGTTTTCTTCATGTAAAATAGGTTTAGTCACTTTGATAATATAAGTTTGTGTCAAATTACGCAGTACCCTTGGTCAATATCATTTGACTGTTTGAAAACGGTGTCTAGGCGAGTTAGTTGAGAAAGTAGAAACCTGAAGGGAGGGTTTTGAGAATTTCTGAGATGATGGTGGTACTTCAGATAAGATGAAAACTGAAGGGAGGTGTTAATAAGCCTTACATATACATAAATACAAACGTTGAGGGGAGCAGAGTTGCGTAAGACAAAAAAAATACACATGTAATCTGCCACTCCCATCGAACTTTCAATTTTCAGTCGAAAAAGAAGCACATATTGGGTTACATATTATCCGACGTTATTTCTATATAAGCAAGCGACAACTTCCACCCAAAGTTTAGTCAAATTCCAAGTTCACCTGGTTCTACGCTTCATTTTTATTTCATCCACCCAACCACCACCATCCACCAAACCCACTCGATCATGTTTATACCCAATTTGGCTTGATTCAATGCCGATTGACAAACCTAACACAACCATTAGGATTCTCTCATCTCTATATATATAATTTAAAATTAACTTACTAGTTATATAAAAGTGAGAATATAGAATAAATAGAACTAGAGATATGAAGTTAAGATTTGGTTAACATATATATATATATATGAGAGAAATTTTTTTATCTATTTAAAAATGAATGAATAATATTAAAAATTATATTAAAATAACTAAATTTTGTATATGATTTTATACTTGTTTAAAAATCTAAGTCGAAAATGATTTTGAAAACATTCTACTTTATTTCAACCAGACATCACTTTTATGATTTTTTATCTTTTTTTTTTTTTTCAAAATAAAATAATATACAATTATTTTTTGTCTAACAGCTTTACATTATATGCCGTTTTCTTAAATAAATTTATCAATAATGAGTTATAAACTGCACAGAGAAGTAAACATTTAAATGTGGAGAGTCGGAAAATTATATTTATCGTTAAAGTATGGATAATTGATCAGTCGATGTCATTTATGTCATCGATTTAGAAAACAATATTATAAGGTGGCCCCTAAAAAATTGTAAATAAGAATTGCTACTACAACTACAAAGATAAGATATGAAATATAATATAGTGTATAATGTATACAAGTAACTTCCACACCGTTGAAAGTGACTTTAATTTATTTTCAATACTTTATTAAGTAATAAAAATTGGTGCTTTTCAAACTCAAGGAATCAATTAAGATCACTAATTGCCCCTCATTATTCTATGCTTGTGTGAATTAAGGAGATGTATGATCTGAAATCAATTGCAGTCTCCATAGTTTTGGTTACAGTAGTAACAGGGCAGGAGACTACTGAACTGGGTATGGTTTAGGCCTAAGAAGTTTGAGAAATATCTTAGACAGCAAGGTCTCAAAGGCAAACCTTAGGTTCTTTATGGAGACTGAAAGAGAACTTAATGATGATAAAAGAGCTAAATCCAGACCCCTAATCTCTCAGATGACGTTGTGCCACTTGTTCTTCCATTCATCGATAAACTGGTCAAGAAGTACGGTATTGTGATCAATTCTCTTCTTTAACTTCTTTTTTCCTCTTTCATGTTGCAAATTCCAAGTCGCCTGAATGAGAGGTGTGGCACTATTAGTTTTTTTTTTTTTTTTTTTTTTTTGTGGAAAACAGAGAAATTCTAATTTTAATTTTATTGTGTTATTGTATCTTAATTCGTTGTTTGCTGGACAAATTATAGCTAGAGTTATGTAGTCCTAGCTATCTCCTTGATGATTTTGACACAACTGGGTTTATTGGGATTTTTTTTTTTTTAATTTTGGGTTAAAAGCAATAAAAGAATAATTTATAACAGCAAACAGAGAAGAGTCCTACTCTTGAATATTTGGTTTCAATGAAGAGAAGGGTGGGGGGAGCATTCATCCCCCCACGGGGGGATATTTACCTGTTGAACCAGTGATTATTCTTGCTTAATGATTTTTCAAATTCTAAAGCACGTACATTTAATGCTTTTAGTTTTTTATTTTTTTCTTTTAATTTTGTGTAGATGAATAAGTTATTGTGGTGGTCTTCTTGTCTTCTGGTTACAAAAGCGAGGGATGGAATTAATCCTTCGATTTGTGGCTGTGAACAATGCGATCTGTCTTACTTTATGCATTAAATTATTATGGTGACCAATTTCAATATGTTGATATTATTCCGACGTTATGTGCCTGCGTTGGAGGAATTCCAGTACTACCCTGATGACGGTGGCGTTGGGGCATTCCAACTACATCGATGCCAGGTTCAGTCTTCGGGCTTGGCGTTGGTGTAGGCAGGTTTTCCTATAATGTAAGTTTAATATGAACAATGATGATCTATCTTCTACTAATCATTCCTAAAATATTGTTAAAAATGCAGGTGACAATTCTTTTACGTGGTTTGGCACAGTACCCCGGGTGATTATCACGAATCCTAATCAACTAAAGGAGATATTTACCAAGATCAACCATTTTCAGAAATCCAAGGCCAGAAATCCACTTGTTAACTTAATAGCAACTGGACTTCTAGAATACGAGGGTGAGAAATGGACTAAACATAGAAGGATTATAAACCCAGCATTCCATCAGGAGAAATTGAAGGTAAATTTACAAGTATTCATATAAAACAGAAATTATGTATATGTGCATACATAATGAATGATGCTAACAATTTTACTTGAACAATATCTGTTACAGCTTATGTTACCAGCATTCTCTAAAGTTTGTAGTGAGCTGATTAGCGAATGGAAGAAGTTGGTTTCTGTAGAAGGATCATGTGAAATTGATGTATGGCCGGAGCTTCAAAGATTGACTGGTGATATGATTTCTCAAACAGCATTTGGAAGCAACTATGAAGAAGGAAGGAGAATATTTCAACTCCAAACAGAACTAGTTGATCTTGCAATGCAAGCTGCACAGTCATTTTACATTCCAGGATTGAGGTATACATATATGACGGTAAAAAAATGTGACTTGTCTGATATTAGTACTTATGTTTGGATAGCAGTTATTTTAAATCTTATTGGCAATTTACGTAAATATGCCGGTACCGCAATGATGCATCAGCTCTGTTGAGTGGGCATGTAATTTCGGCAGCTTTTACCGACGCAAGCAGTTGGTGTCGGTGAATGCCTACCCCAACGCAAAAAATGTTGGGATAAGGAAACTGTATGCTGATACGGTTGTGTGTCGGTCAAGGCATTGCAAGTTTCCGATGACCGATATTCTATCAATTGGTCGGCTTCATAATTGTTATTTAACTTTTATTGCTTTTCTACATATATGTAGGCTTTTACCAACTAAGAGGAATAAGAGAATCAAGGAAATTGACAATGAAATGCGAGCTTTACTCATGGATATTATTAAGAATAGAGAGAAAGCAATGAAAGCAAGTGAAGCTGCAACAAATAATGACTTACTAGGTATTCTTATGGAATCCAATGTTAGAGAAATTAAAGAACATGGAAACAACAAAAATGTTGGGATGACTATTAATGAGGTGATTGAAGAGTGTAAGGTATTTTACTTAGCCGGGCAAGAAACTACCACAGTTTTGCTTGTTTGGACTCTGCTTTTATTGAGTAAGCATCAGGATTGGCAAGCTCGCGCAAGAGAAGAGGTGTTTCAAGTCTTCGGAGATAACAAGCCTAACAACGATGGGTTGAGTCACTTAAAAGTTGTAAGTGTCACAATATTTTTTCTGCTGCGATATTTGCTATATATTTTACATATTATAATTAATTTTCATCGCAGGTCTCGATGATATTGTACGAGGTACTGAGGTTATATCCACCAATTGCAACTCTTCCTCGAGCTGTTTACAAAGACATCAAACTTGGGAGCTTATCGTTACCCCCTGGAGTAGAGATCTTCTTGCCAGTTATCCTTGTTCACCATGATAAGGGACTTTGGGGTGATGATGCAAAGGAGTTTAAACCAGAGAGATTTTCGGAAGGAATTTCAAAGGCGACAAAGAATCAAGCTTCATTTTTCCCTTTTGGATGGGGTCCTAGGATATGCATTGGACAAAACTTCGCTTTGATAGAGGCAAAAATAGCTTTGGCGATGATTCTACAAAAGTTCACGTTGGAGTTATCTCCATCCTATGTTCATTCTCCTCACAGAATAATTACTATTCATCCAGAGAACGGTGCCCAATTGATTCTGAAGAAAATTGCTTGAAAACTTTCAGTTATTGTCAAATAAGATTGGTGTCGAAATGATGGAACATTAATTAGCATGCTGTTGTAATTAATTAATAGCCATAAATAATATTTTAATAGATGGATGATTTGAGTTTGAGTTTATTTGTGGATTATCCATTTAACGCAAATAGAGTTTCATGTTTTCTAGGCCTAATTATTTTTAACTAGTGAGTATAATCATCAACTTTCCAAATTGCTTCCAAATGGATTTGCAAAGTGTTGGTGAAAATGAAATAAATAACAATTTTATTTTAAAGAGATACAATGATGAATAAAGAAGATTACATGAAAACTAATACTAACAGGTTGTGGCGTGGATATCTCGTTTTCTTTAAGGAAATTCGAGCTCTTTACATTTAGCAAAACTTAAAAAACCGATGTAGTAAAGAAACATTTTGACTTGTCCCCTTCGAGATACAACATCCTAATAGTCTCGTTGTTTGGTTGACAACAACTCTACACAAATTGCTCCATCCAAGCTCCTCCAAAAGGAACACTTTTCTCTAGCTAGTATTTTCTCTAAACATAATGGATGAAGGTAGAAAAAATGTGTGTGATGAATAAATATAAGAGACATTTATATACAGCTCTTTACGTACTCCATCTTTTCATATTCATAACTCATCCTTTAATTCAATTAAAAACACCATAACCACCTCCGATTCAATGACTTACTCCCATCATCTTTAGTCTTCCAAGCTCTCATCATCTTTAATCTCCCGCCTTCCATCTTCCATCATCCATCTTCCAACCTTCCATAATAATAAATATAGATAAAAATAAAAAATGTAAGTCAACGTTTGAAACATAACCAGTAGTAAGAAGAACACATGATAAATGTGTTCCATATTATCACAATACCTTCAAGTAAAGCAGGATATTTTTTATGAAAAAAGCCATAATTTTTAGTAGCAGATAAATATTTCATAATCCTTTCCACCATCTATAGCGAAAGAAGCGGCTTGTAGCATACTTCTTTGCACCTGCTTGCTCGGTATCATATTAAGTTGCAAAGCCTTCCAAATCTTTTTGGCAGAAGGGTAAGTATTTTCATAGTATCCTAAAACTGATCAAAAGACAATTCAAAAGATGATAACGACAATTATACTAATCTATCTCATTATTGGCAAATCTTTCCACGTGCTCAACTTGCTCTTCCTCGGTCATGCCTCCGACATTCTCTTTGTGTGGGTTCTTTTCGGTGAGAACATAAGTACATTAGGGGGTTGAGATAGAATAACACCTTGCCTTCCACCTCTTGAAATGGGCACCATGAAACTTAAAAAGGCTTGATCTCCTTTGATTGACGAGTTTGTCTTGTGCACCCTCCATATTGATCGAATAACCTTAAAATCGTTGATGAAAATAAAATAAATATAATTTCATTTCAAAGAGAGAGATATATGAGATTGCAGAAACAAATTACAGGGTGTTGTTATGATTTTACGTAACAACTAGTGAAACCCAATTGATCTTGGTGAATCAGATTAGATGTATGCATGATTAATGAAAATGCAAAGGGAACAAGCAAAGAACACAACAAGCACTTTTTTAAGGGTGCGTTTGGTTTAGTATTTTGGATAGGATTTTAAGGGTAGTATTGGGTTATTGGATATGGGAGTATTACGAGGTAAATTTTAAAAAATTTATAAAAACGCCCTTAGGTTTACTATTTACTAAAGACCCTAACATGTAAATGACAAAACACCCCACCACACTGCAGTGTTCAATTCCGGCCACCACCGCCAATCTGACCGAAAATTTCGTTACGGCACAGACTTGTCGGATCTGTGCCGTAACACATCGTTATGGCCTTTTCCGGCTAGATCCTATGTAGATCTGGCCGGAAAAGGCCAGATCTATGTTGTTTTTTTTGGCCGTCGACGGCCGGCAAAGGCCAAACGACGGCCATCTTTGCCGTCAGCGACGGCCAAAGATGTGGCCGTCGTTTGTTTCGATCGACACGGCCAAGATTTGGCCGTCGTTGACCGTCAACGACGGCCATTTCTTTGGCCGTCGCTGACGGCCAGATCTGGCCTTTTCCGGCCAGATCCGTTTGGGATCTGGTCGGAAAAGGCACATCGGTGAACTTCCGGCCATTTCTGGTCGGAAGTTTGGCCGTTGTACAGATTCCGGCTATCACCGACGGTGGTTGCCGGAATCTGACAAGTTGGGTTGATGGGGGTGTTTTTGTTAATTTTAAACTTTTTTTTCAGGGGGTATTTAGTGAAATTAATAACCTTATGGGGTTAAAATGTAATTAAAAAAAATAGGGTAATATTTTGAGAATATTGTACCAAACGCGATTTGAAAAATAGGATCCAGAATAGGGATAAAAATATTAAACCAAACGCATACTAAGTGATTCGACAAGTTATAAATTCTTAGGCCTACATCTACTATTCTCTTATTGATGCTTTGAATACAAGAATAAGTTTTATTTCTCTCTAGAATTACTAACCCCTTATAATGAATTTTTTGGGGTTATTTATACAAGAAGTTGGTGATGGTAAGTGAGTGATTTTAGGGATCATCGCTCAATCATAATCATGGGAAGTTAATCCCATGATTGGCGTGATCACGTCAAATATGGGATTGGATGATAAAATTCTGAAATCCTCTCATTGATATTAGGGGATAAGGCTTATCAATAATCCATGAGTCAACTGTCCATTCAGCTTGCTCCTACGAGCTTAGCTAGTAGCATTAAGCTTCGTTTTCCCCGAGCTGCCATTACTTCCAAGCTTGGCAAAAACTCTTGCACAACATTTGCCCCCAGTTTTTGGAGTTGTGTCAAGCTTCTAAAACTAAGGGTGCTCAAAGACATGCTATCTAGGTGCTAGCTATTGACTAGAGGCCTCTAATTGGCGAGCTGTTGATGCCCAGTAGATGATATGGGGCGAGCTTTGACATGCAAAGAACATATTTCACCAAGTGATGTAGCCTAGACTTGAGAAATAAAACCCTACTGACTTTAGTTTGATTTGGTCTTCGTGGGCAAGAATGTAATTTTTGAGAAAACACATCATGCATTTAATGCGGCTGCAGGTGAACAGTCGCCCTGGCTACGCATTTAATGTGATAGGCACGTGCACTATCAAATACAAAGTTTAATCTTTCATAAGTGCACGAGTTGCAATCGCAGTATAGTGCATGAGTAAGGGGCGATCCCACAGAGACTGGAAGTGCTCTCGTGATCCTAGTAATATGCCTTGTGAAAACAACAAAAATTGAATAAAGAAAACATATAAACAACATTAAAGTAAATCTAAATGTAACTATCTACAAAGGGTCCTAGGGCTTTAGCTCCATCATAATCATCAGACTACGTGTTCATCATCAAACTATAGTTCTCTCCACTCCATTCTAGAGTTCGTACATCATCGGGTTCAACCTAGTGCTTTCATCATCTAAACTAGCTAGTGGCGTACAGCCTAGTCTAAATAACAAATGAACCAATTCGCACAAACACAAATCATCCATTCATAGAGCTAACCAAGATAGGCACGACGTCTTTCATTTCTAAGGTATTACCACAGCCATTTAGAATAATTTAGTGTTTCCATCAACTAAACTAGCTAGTGGCGTATAGCCTAGTCTAGTAACGAAAATCCAATAAGCGCAAGACAGTCTTAAAGACAACAACCAATCTATACCCAGGCAGAGCTACAAATCAATCATTCCACACACAATCTTGTCTCATACAATCAATTAACTAACATCAAGGTTGATCAAGCCCTAATATCAACTAAAGATTGAATTAAACACAATGAATGAATTTGGAACATAATCAAATGGTTCAAACAAATAGATTAACAATAAAACACAAGCCTTCAATTAGATTACATCAAACTCCTAGAATAAAAACTAACTACATGAAAGAAAATTAAAGATTACACTTGGAAGCCATGAAAGTCTATGAAGAACAAAGGAGAGGAAGAGAGGGAGAACCTCCCCTTCTTTCCAAGCTATTTCCAAGCCCCCCATTTTCCTCTCTTCAAGTTAATTGATATAATAAAACCCTAACTGACTAAAATATTGGTAAGGACCTTTATTTATAGTAGTAAGGCCATGAAAGTATTATGGTAACAAGTCACTTCAATTAAAATCACATAAAACACATATGCTTGTCTTCCATGCACTGACGTAACTTTCAGATCCATTTTTAACAAATTTACAGTCAAACTGAGCCACAATTAAAAAATAAGAGTTGTAGCTCTGTCTCTTCGCTTTGAAATGCCTCAAGAATCGGGTCAATCAAAGTTGTGTAGCTTAAGTTATGCTCATTTTAGTGCAGCATATTTTGGCAGAAAAATTCCCAAACATAAAATTCACGAATTGCGTCGCGGTGCCAATCTTCTGCCAAATCTCCTCGGCTAAAAGTCCTAATCATGCTGTAGCACAATTTTTTGGTGCTATGGCACAATTTATAGTTCTACTGCGGTGAACAATCTTAAAAAAATCATGACTTCTTTGTTTGAGCTCCGACTCATGAACCATTTGTTTCCACATGATTCTAATTCTTTGCTCTTCAATACACATATATGAGATCCTCGTTTTTAGCACCTAAATACCTAAAAATTCACAAAACATACCCGTGATTCTAGAAAACAAAAGAGATATAGAAATTTAAGTAAATTAACCAATTAAACTTAATTCCCACACAAAAAACCTTTAAAATCACTAAGTATGAGTGCACTTCCAAGCACTCATCATGCACATAATGATTGAAATGAGGGGATGCAATGTTTCTTTTCCGAAATAGTGGTACCTACCTTCACAGATCGCTGCCACGTGGCCAAAATGATCGGATAAAACCACTGGAGGGACTAAATGGCAGAGATCATTTATGACAAAAAAAAGGGCCATGATCGACTCCGGCTCGAAGTGACTTGCTATAAAAGAGACCCTTGGCCAAAAGCTAAAAAACCCTTATGAAATCCTTTCCTCTTTACTCAGCGAAATTTTGCTTCAGTCTTGATTTTCACAGCAGTTTTTCGAGTGACTCCTTTTAGTTTCTATCCTCAAGTAAGTTTCTATTTTTCTCAACTCTTTTCTTTCTTGTTTTTGTTTAGCATTGTTGTGGTTGTGATGTTTGTAAT